TAAGAGAAAAATATCAAATGCCCTTGGCGGGAGTCGAATCCACGTCTTCGGTATTCTAGTCCGATGAGTTAACCACTCACTACAAGGACCAACCACGCTGGTAACGCAGGCGGAATATGAAATGTAGGATACTCGTGAGTATCCCAGAGCGATATTTTTTCTCTATTATGCAATTAGCTAGGGATGTGTAGATATGAATCAAGTGAGGCCATGCACTATGGGAATTGAACCGGGAAGGTTTGCTAGGTCGACTATGTTATAGTGAAGGCACGTTAAATTCAAAGACAAAGCCTGCTCCAATAGTTGCCATGGTTAAATCAACCCGATCAATGCAATGCTACTGCTAATAGAATAATGTTTATATGCTAATCCGGGGTAATTCGAGTTAAGAAAGGCGGCTTGGATACAATGACGACTCACCAGACTGAAAAATATCTTTAAAATAAATGAGTTTACTTTACGACTTAAAGTCAGCTAACCAAACAAAATTTCTAAAATTTGGAAATTAAATCTTATCGATAGATAATTGGGTACAAACTAAGTCCTATAAATGCTTTTTCTTTTTATATAATATCCTATTTCAATAATTCTGCTTATTCAAAAGGGTTTTATATTTCTTTTCTGTCTGCGAGTATCTCCAGTTGTTCAGGCGAACATCCATACAGCCATTTTTCTTCAAGACCTGATTTTTGCCCATTCATGATTCGCCATCTGCTGTTCCACATTCCCTCAGAGAGAAAGGCAAGTAACAAACTCCTCTGTGACGATGAATGGATAGGTTCTCGTCCGTGACTAATGCGGCCGTTGTTCATGAGAACAGCTACTCCTTCTTTTATGATCACTCTTTTCTGGTTCGCTTTCTCGTCTAGCTTTTTCTGCAGTAGCCTGTACGCATCATAGTGCTTCTTCATCGTTGCATGATCCTTAAACACGCTCAAATCCACACCTGCGTGTTTGTTCGTCAAATTAATGTAATCGTGCTTCTCTCTCTTATCATAGGCGATTATTGGCTTGTATTCCACGTTATCTAAATGGTAAAAGTAGAACTCTTTAGGTTTAACAACTTCGGGAACAGTCAATCGTCTCCTGGCAAGACGCACTGGGATCGTACGAAGCAGGTCGTAAGCCTCGGGTTCTTCTCGGCGTATTTCTTCAACCACCTTCAGGTTATCAACAAGAAAGTTGTTGGTATCTTTGACCGGCGCAATGTAGCGAGTTCCTAACAAACAAGTCAGCCTGTGCATTGAGGCATAGTAGGGGGTGTCCACATGCATTGGGTGCSCATTCGAGGTATAAGTTGATGTGTCGTAGCTCGATTCTTTCTTGCTATCTTGTAAAATACGGAGTATGTTTGTAGGATGGGTACGTTGAGCTTCTTGACCAATAGAGTGGATGAGATCAATAATACCTGCTTCATTTTGAGGCACTCCCTGGAAAATTGCCAAGCCGTACTTCCTCAAGTCCCCAAACCAGCTGTCGAAATTTTCCATGCTTTCAGAGTAGTTATAAACTGGGAACTTGAAGTTGGCATCCCAAAGAGTAATGTCAGGCTTCTTACATAGATCTTTATTGATATTATGGTCTTGAGCACGAAGCCAAGAAGCATTAAAAGTACCAAGATGGTCTCCCCATTCAACAAGAACATCCTCGCTTCCCTTCTCGTGTTCTGCACGAACCAACGGGGATTCTTTACAGATAAACTCAACGTAGTCATCTCTTTTATACAGCAAGGAACCGGCATCGAAAACCTCGGGATCGCGCGCGGCACTTCGAAGCCAGATATTTGGGAAGTTGCTCTGCTTACCGTCTTGCCAGGCTATTGATAACAGATCCTTGCAGTGAGAAACAGCCGCAATGCGGAATGGAGCTCGTAACATTGCTGCCTTGAAAGAAAGAGACTGATTGATGCAATAGCCGTATTGGCGATATGAATAGCACTCTAAATGCTAACATATTTTATCTTAACTAATTTCATTGAATTAGCAAACGTCATGTACATATGGGCGAATCGAACCAGCATTAACATCAGGGCGGGAGGAGGGAGGGCGTTGAAACGGGCATACATCTATTGGCCGATCCGGAGAGTAGGACTGAGCACTACTCTGACTGTCGGACAAACATTGCATTCTGTTTAACCGCTACGAGGATTATACTAACCGATTTTATTATTTTTACTTAAAGTTACAATAATAACCCATGTAAACTAAGATCAACTGCGATCGGCTGTGAAAATTATTTGCTGAAAGTAAACTTGTAAGTTTGTTTGTCCGAATTTCGCCTATGTCTTCGTTTTTATGAAGTCATGGCTGCGCTGCGCTATTACACTAATCTTTTGTGGTCGGTTTGTCAAAGCCATTTTAATCATTAAGATGTTGAATAGAGTGCAAACAATATAACCGTGAAACTTTAGTAATACTAAATAGCACAATTCATTGAAATTCCATTGTTTTCTATTGTTTAATGAGCACTATTTTGTACTATTTAGTAATTAGTGTATCACAGATTAATTGTTTGCACTCT